GGCCGAATGCTCAGACCTAGCCCAGCCTGTTCCTGTCTCGGCACTGCGGTAGCGTTCCCAAGCGACACCTCCAGTGTCAGCCACGCTATCCAATATTCGATCTGCGAAATCGAACCAAAGTGTCTTATGTCGTGGCACATCTCAGCCTCTTCGGGCGCAGGTCTCGTCTCAGCAGTGGCGACGCCATGCTGCACTTCGCCCTGCATCACCTCCGATGCAATTGGACTTCTTCACCAAGCCCAGCGAAGCAGAAGCTGCATGCAAGCTCCAGCAAGCCGGCAGATGTCAAAAATCTGCCACATTTTGTGGGTAAAACTTGCCCACTCGCTTGGCCGGACAATCACTTCAACTGTTGGACGTCTTCCGCACAGTCACTACACTCTCGGATGTGCTTAGCACTGCTGCATGCCTCGATGCTGGTCCAGACTTGCTGCAGTGGTATGACCTGACAAGTTCAGAAAAAAAACACGGTGTCTGGAACCTAAGCTCGGAATGCTCAGGCCCCAACATCCATCGCGAATGCCACCGCCACTAAGGCCACCAGCGTGGAGAGAAGCAGCATGCATCGGGTTTTCTGCGCAGCGACAAACACAGCAGCGAAACGATCTCATATTTGCCCAGGAAGGCTGAACAGACAAAGTGTGAAACTATGCTGTATCATGCTGTATCAGTTGTTGGATGCGGAGCATAGTGTCCGGAAGAGCTGGGAAGCCCACTGCGGAGCTGGAAGATGTCCTCCACGAGGGGAGGGTGCAAAGCTGAAAGAAGCGGCTTCTTGAAGTGTCTGACCTGCTCACTTGCCGCTTCAGCTCGACAACTTCTTGCCGCAGCTTCACACCTGACGGATGTCGCCGTAGAGGCGGGTGAGCCCTACAACCACACGTCATAAAACAGCAATCAAACGAAATTGCCTTGCAGCACCTCAGAGCCTTTCTGTCAACAAACATGGCCCTGCCCAGCAAGAGGGGACTTGCCATGTGGGACCGAGGATGCTGCTCTCGAGGACCTTCTCCTGCAAATCTAGCAGCTACTGTAGAAACAAGTGCATGTACGTGTAAAAATCAGTATAAGTTAAGTAACAGGACATTAGATAGACCTCGAGCTAGAGCTAGAGGTCGAGGCAGAGATATAGATGTTGTATGGATACGGATATAGATATAGATGCAGATACATATAGATAGACACGCTATGATATTATTCAAATTATTCCATTTTTTGTTCATATCTATACACTTCTCGAAACTCTTGTAGTTCCGAGAACTGGGAAAGGCACTGGTGGCGGAGCAACTGTTTGTTTGCTGCCTTCCTATCGCATCACTACAAAGGCCGATTTGTCAGTTTCCGAAAACCAGGGACCGTAGCACAGTACCCTAACTAGTAGGATGACTATTATAGGGACCCCAAAATACGGTACCCCTAATTTCGGAAAATCCGATTTGTGAGTCCTTCTCGGAGCGCTTCAGAACCCGGGCCAACTCCAAGGCCTTCTCTCTGGGCATGCCTGACAATCGCGAAGCACAGGCAATACCACCTCCGGCATATGCACCCTACATGGGTGGTTGGCAAAATTAGGGTCCCTTTTTGAGTTCCCTAAATAATTGGTGCCGTAACATAATAGGGACCCAATACGGGACCATAATTTTGACAACCACCCGCATAACCGAAGAGGTGGCCGTGACCTGTTAAGCGAGACTCAACGGCAAACCGGAACTAAGCCGTCAGCTGTTCATGAGCTCGAACTGCCAGTCCTTGCCAATCAGGCGTGTCATGGCATGTCTGAGCTCAAGCAGCGCGGCACTGGGGCGGAGGCGTAGTGCGAAAGCTCTCCGTCACCGGCCTGATGCAAAGGCTTGGGGCGGCACAAGGCAGCCTTTATCAGTTTCCGAGCACAGGCCCTCTTTCGCGCTTCGAAGAACGAGACGCACCCCGCCTGGCTGTCTGGCATGCCATCGGTGCTCTCCGCCTGAAAGACAGTGCCGTCAAAGTAGCGCATGTTTCAAGTCGCGAGCCAGAAAGCAGGCCAGCCCAATGTACCCTCCTCGTCTTCACTCCCGGTCTTGGCCATCATGTCGCCAGGGCTTGGGAAGTGGTCGTCTCGGCCAGGCAAGGTCGTTCAGGAGTATGAGAAAGCTTGACTCCGCTCAAGAAGAACGACGAAAAAAACTTCCTCAGCCCGCCACCAGCGCGAGGCGAGGGCCTTGGGCCAAGGCAAGCTCCCAGGTTTCTCACTCCGCTCCCTGGGACTCTGGGGCGAAGGCGGGGGAGTGTCTCCACTGTGCATACAGAAGAGTTTCCCGACAGCCGCATCCTCGGGCGTCTTGTCCTGTCTTCCAGCCGCGGACTCTGACTTTCAAGCTCTGATGGGCTTCTTTGCAAGACGTATCCTCTGGACTGAGAGATGGTGGCTTGCAGCCCGCATCTGCGCTTCCTTTGGAGGGTTCCTTTGTGAAGCCTAGGCCCATGCTTCCAACTGCGAGTGTCGAGCACTCCACAGATTCGCAGCAGGGGATTCTGCCGAAATCGTGACGGTGCCAAGGCCGATCGCTGAGGGACCAACAGTGATTGTTTTCTGCCCCTTCAGATCGGAGGAGCCTGTGCGAGAAGGGCTCGATGCAGGCCGCCCGTCCCATCCCCGGAAGCGAGCTCCTCGTTCTCAAGATCTGCTCCAGCCGAGAGTCACCACCTGCCGAGTGATTGCGTGTTCACAGCTTCGCCCTGGGTACAGAGCGGCCAACCCGACTCGCCTGCTGCGGTGACCATGCCTCCGAATCACTTCTTCAACGTCACTTTGCATTGGGGTGTGGCAGCTTGCAGCAGTGTTGACATTGGGATTCTCAAGACGGAGACCCTGAACAAAACTTCCCTTCACTCCATCCATATCCACGAGGACTCATAAACTTCTGGGGCACGGGCCGTGTGGCTGGTGCTGCTGCACTCCACGTCACGGGAGAAATTGAAAATGGTGGGTGGTGGTTCGCATTGCACTCTACTTCCGGGTTGGGTGGTGGGGTTGATGGCTCAGGCCAGGCTTTGCCAGTCGTCGGCCAACGCTCTTCTACGGGGCTGTATGCTAATCAGCTGACCGGTGCAACTTCTAGGACTCCATGTCGTTGCCCAGCTTTGTGTCTTTCTAGAGCGGATTGAGAGCTGCAACGAAGCTCTTGAACCATGAGATCGCGGACGCGCGCAAACTGCACCAAATGCACACGTCCCGCTGTCTCAGTTCCTTACACACACACACATAAGCAGCAAGAATTGCAGGCCGCCTTGCCCTTGCCCTCGATGCGTGCAAGTGCGGATCGGTAAGCCGCCAAAGCCTCGGCCGCTTGTCCGGCCTCGGTAGCCCAAGGTAATCCGGATATGCACCTTCCATGTCACACACGATGGAAATCAGCTCTCCCCAGCTGCCTTCAACTTGGTGTTGCCATCGGCCTTCAACTTGTCGGCCTCGGCTACAAGCGAAAGGCTGCCAAGCCCTGTGCCTGCAAAGCAGCTGCCGTCATGCAATGCACAGTTCTGCCAAAATGGGGTTTTGGCATCGGGAAACCAAGCTTTGAGCAGCCTGGGCTCAACACCTCTGCATCTGCAGCGCCAGATCCCGGGCCATTCATGGCGTCAGCTAGGGAAGAAAAGAAAAGACTCCTCTTGTCTTGGTATTTTGGTTCTGCATGGACAAGCCAAATGTCCTTCCTGGGCTCTCAGGTCGGATCCGCCCAATGCGTCCATGCCTCCCCGTCTTGAATCCTGAACCACACACTCTTCGCAAGGTGACAGGATCACTCGCAGCATGAACCGTCCTGGACGGCAAGCTCGCCAGTCCGTCGCGCAAGACTGTGGCTAAATATGAGCTGTTCTTCCTAGCAACACCCCGCATGGCAAAGCTTATGGCCTGACACGTCATTCCTTCATATGCCCATCCGTCTGTCTTGCTGCAGGCACTTCTCCTTCCGTAGGGGCCAGACTTTAAATACACCAGACGAAACCGAACAACAAACCACCGCAACACTACCTGACAGCTGCCAACCCTGAACCGTTATGATGGTACAGGAAGTGCCGTGTATGTAGGGACTTCCCCCCTGCAGTGAGCTATGTTCTGCAAAAAGCGCAAACATGCTCGATCATGCTTTGCTGCATTCTGCTAAACGGACCCACGTTCCCAATCACACAACCCTGCCAGTCACCCAAATGCGGATCAACTTCACGTGTGTTGGCATCCAGCCGCGCTGAGGACGCCAAGCTGCTGTTGAACAGCTTCACATGTCAGCAGTTTCGCAAACATGTGACTATTCAGGGGGCTTCTGATGCCACCTGTCCTACCGATAAGCCGCGCCACCCCTCCAAGTGCAACACAAAAGAACCACTGGGGCACCATTCCAATGCCTACACGCATGAATCCAACACGGTGCATGCTTGCCGGGCTGGTCGCGGAGCCCGTTTCCGTCGATACTAATGCTAGAGGTCCGACGATTGACGGCTTGTTTCTAGCTGTTCTGAGTCTTCCCTTGTATGCGAGATTGCGAGATTTTCTCTTCGAACCTCCCAAGTGTCGCAGACAGGCCCATTACAGGATGTGAAGACATGACTCACAATGCCTTATGGTAGAAGCCCAAAAGTTGGAAACCCAATAGCCTCAATCCTTAAGAGTAATGTATAGGGAAATCCAGCACTATTTGGCCTTCATTCGGTTTCCAACTTTCTAGGGTTTACTGGAGGTATTTGCCGGCTGGTGTGAGCTCTAGACATGAATCATGGCACCAAGATCGCATCCATACCTCTCACGCCTGCCCTAAAGGCTGTGTCTGCCATCTAAGTCACAATGCTAAGGTCCCTCAGTCAAGCGGCTTCATCAGCCTGACGCGCACATCGCATTCACAGCGAAAAAGCAATGGCGCCGAAGAACACAAGCCCGGCAGTCTGCAGGGAAGTGCACGGAAGATGTGGCAAACAACGTGCAACTGCTTCTAGTTTGACGACCCCCGCGTCAGACTCTGCGTCCGGACTCAAAGGGAATGCACAAAGTCATATTTATGCACTACAAGTAGCTGAAACTCAAGTGCACTCAGGACAGCTAGACACCTTCGCGACTCACACTGGGAAAGTCCTCCACCTTGAAACTTAGCTTTCTTCCGTGATATGCTGCGACGGCAACAGAAGATGATGCATGGCATCCAGAAGCAGGGCAAACCGCCACAGGAAGGTAACTTCAAGCCGTCTGAGGCGATGGTCATGAATCGTCGTTGAGTACCCTCGGCGGCGGCCTTTGCATCATTGGCCTTCTTCGTGCAAGCTTTGCCGCAGTGTTCGCACCGGGGGTCTCCGCAGCCTTTGCCTCGGCCCCTGCCCCCTCTCTCCGCATGAGTCGAACAGAACCGAGAAAGCCCCGAGACACAGAGAGTTCATGTCATCATGTACTTGCCGGTAAGGCCGCCACTGGGAGCCGGATCAGGATTACATCGGCGAACCTCAGAGCGCTAGCCAGCCAACCCTTTACCCTTCATGGTTGATGCTTGTTGTTGTGAGGAAGGCCTTTTGATCTGAGGCGATATATCACACGACATTCAACATGCCCATACTCATCTTGAAATCCAATGCTGATCACGCTCACTGAGACATTAGCAATACGGGTCTTCTGGTTCCTCCTCTTCCGACCCACTATTTGGGCCGACCTGACATGAAAACAGTCGCAAGGGAGGAGGCATGCCAGGATTCAGATTTTAGCGAATGGGCGCAGATTGCGATGATGAGTTCATGCAAACAAGCTTCAAGCACATTGCCATACATAGGCCTTCGCAGACAAGCACGGTAAGCAACACAAAAACAACACTCGCTCTCCATTCCAATTTACACCAAAAACATCAACACAGCGACAATGACCAGTGTACAGCGGCAACAGCGACAGCTTGAGCAAGAACCACGACGCGTTTTGGGACACAAAAAGTGAGAACGCACCAGTAGACTAGACGTGCACGCGTGAGACGTGAGATGCCTCTCCCTGAGCAAGCGCCGCTTCTCTTCAACGTCTTCACCCTCCAAGGCCTTTGCAGCAGGCCGGATTCGAGGAATGCGAAGATGTCAACAGTGACTCCGAACTGTTCTTGATTTGTGTTCGAACTTCCAAGTCTTGTCCCTTCCATCGCAGCTATTGAATTTGCGAAGCTACACGGAAGCAGAAAACTAAACGGACCCCACGTGAGCAAAAGACACTTCTTGTCTTTACCGAGCCTTGCGATCATCCTCCGACTCAGAACCCCTTGGTCGCAGGTGATGCTGCAAGCGAGGGCTCAGCCTGCTACAAGCGTCAACTTTACACCGGCAAACCCTGTAGAGTTAGGGCTGGACTGGCTGCCTTCCGGGGCTGACGAGCAAGACTGCATGAAACATGAGGGTCTGGGCTAGAGACTCCTCGTCGTAATCCTCACCCTGCACAAAGGCAGGATGCGTTCCCACGTGATTCGAAATGCGTGTCCACAGCCTCGTCATCCCATTCCTGCCAAGGATTCTGGGCTTCCGATGCAGGAGTTCTCGTTGAATGCGCAACGTTGGTGATTTGCGAATTGAATGACAGAAAGAGATACTGAGACATTGGGCCTCCACAATGAATATTGAGGCTTGAGCCCCGCAATATGTCGCAATGATTAGCCCTTGATACTTTCACTTGACACCGAGTGGGCCGGGAAGTGGGTGAGCAGCAAATTCGAGCCATGGCTTTTCTGCGACGAAAGTTCGAAAGCTTTTCATTCACCGAACTCGGCTCGAGTTTGACGTTCACACTTTCGCAGCGCGTGGTTCCTGTCGACATGTGCTAAAGCTGCTCAAGAGCAGCAGGAACGGGACGAAGTTGAGAACTGTCAACTTTCAAACATGTTATTCCTAGAGGCATGCTACAGGAAAGCCGAACGATAGAGAGGCAAGACAAGCTGCAGAAACACATCCCGGCATCTCAGCTCCTGTACCCACCTGCGACAATCATACTCCTGTTTGACGGTACTTGTGACAGTAGCGGCAAGCTGCAAGGCAAGGCATTGAAGAAGACGCTGGTTGTTTCTTAGGCAGTTGAGCCTCCTGGCTTGCTGGGATAGCCTGCTTCCTATGGATACCCAGCTTAGGACTGGCATCAGAAGCCTACATGCCTGAACCCTACGGCTGCTACAGCTGCAAAACCAATTGTCGGAGGTACGCTACAGTAAGCCTTCAAGCAGCGGGTGCTTTCTCGAGTGAGCCGACCGACTGACGGGCAAAGCTACGGAGACGGGATACTTAGCCTCAAGGACTTCTGGGAATTTTCGTATCAAACATGGCCCTGCTGTGCCCGTGTGTTCTGACTGAGCCTGTCCTCGAGCAGGAGCCCGTCTTTTCGCGGGTGCGGTGAATCCACGCGCATCTGCCAAGACATGGATCATAAAGCGTGGCCCCGTGCAGCGATGCTCAAGGTTGGTCCGCTTCACTCTACTGATCGACCGCATGCCGCAACTTCTCTCCGGGCAGACCCAAACAGCAGCTGTCCGAGGCTGCTGCACGCGAGGAAGTCACTGGCTCGCACTTCAGTCCTTGGGAGCTGAGGTCGTGCACAGAGGCTTGCAGAGGTGGGGAACGCGAACATGTCGCTTCACATCTGACACTTGCTACCAGGTGACGATTGACTGGAGAAGCAGGAGGGAAGAACTGTCCTGGCATAGCAGGTGAGCCAGTCGGTCGTGGTGATGCACGAATGCCCACGGGAGGATCTTGTGAATAACTGCTGCAGGAGGTGCGTTTGGACTTCTCCGATGCGTCCGACTGAAAGATGCCTGCTGGCCTTGCACAAGATTGCAGCTTGCTTCCCCAGGTATCCCACAAAGGCCAGGGCGGGTGCTGAGAGCCGGCAGGTGCAAGATCCTGCGGGCCAGGGATGTCTTGCCATCTGAGGCTGGGCTCCTCTTCGTTATCCACATATATAATTGCCTGACTGACTGCCGCACTGCTGTCGGGTTTTTTTCCGTGGTACACTTCGGGTTTTGGGTGTGGGGTACGGAGTAACGCGCAATCCCCCGAATCTCCTGTACTCGGATGTCTGGCGCATCTTTGGCCAACTGTTTCTGCTTCTGCCTGCAGGTTGCTGTAATCACTGCAAAACACAGGTTCAAACCGCATGCTGCAGCAACTGTAAAACCCAACCCAAATCTGCCCAGCTCTCTCGTATCACAAAATTGCCGAGCTGAGCTGCTTCTCTCGCTTCTGCTTTGCTTTGGAAGAAGACCTTACACAACCAGATGCTCCCAGCGATGCCGTGCTCTCGTTGTAGCTGTAGCTTGTGGACATCACGCATCAGCACAGCCCACTCACAGCGCCCCTGAGTGTCGACGAGCGGCGAATTGCTTTCGGCTTGCAGATCTACCTTCTCTGCCAATATGTCCGGGTCCCTCGGAGCGGCATAAAAAAGCTCAAGCTCCATGATACTTTTCAACACAGTCTTGGGGAGTTTCAGACAAAAACGGGTGCGGTAAGATCCCCAGGTACCCCAGAATGTCAGAAACCCACCTGTGAGCAAAGTATCTGAGCCCGCGTCCGGCCGGCTGTCAGCAACTCCTTGAGCTGCGCGCTCTTCCTTTCCAATGCTTCCAGGGTGCTGGCCGCCGTTTCGGAAGCTGGCGGAGGCAGGGTGGCCGAGAAGAGCTCCGGTTTCTGGGCCGTAAAGGTCATGGTAGTCGGCGTGGTCGACGCGATGGCAGGAGTTGGCACCAGGCTTTCTGCTGCCTGCACGCTGTAGTTCTCCAACTTCTCCAGCATGAGAAAGTCTGCCCACTCCTTGCTCTGCGTGACCCGCTCAGGTTCCTTGCGCTTCTTCGATGGCCGGTCATCCACCAGGTAAACGGGCTCGGGCTCGGGCGCGGCAGCCGGAATCTGCCTTTGCTGTTTGGCGGGCTCGGCAGGCTGGGCCGGCTTGGTGTTCGCTGTGGCCTTGGCCGGCTGCGAGGTCTCCGACTTGGACTTTTCCGTTCCTGTGACTGCTTCCTTCTGCGCTTTCTCCGCCTCACTCGACACCTTCTGGTCCTGCGGCTTCTTGCCTTGCTGCTTCGGGTCTTGTTGCTTCGACTCTTTCTGATTCTTCCCCGACTTCTCTGGCGCTTTTGGCGCTTTGTCCGCTTGCTGATCCTTAGGAGCTGTCTCGGTTTGCTTCTCCTTCGCTTTGCCAGGCTTCGGCTCCTTCTGAGCCTTCGCTTTCTCCTCCTGAGCCTCTCCCTCCGCATCCTTCGGATCCTTCGGATCCTTCGGCTTCGCGTCGGCCTTCTTCTTGCCCTTCCTCGGTAGGATCCCGAGGTTTCCAGAAGCAAGAGCCCCTCCCGACTGGGCCCCGGGCTCGTCTTTGGCCTTTGGGGCCTGCTGCACATCCTGAGTCGGGCGAGAGTATACAGGATACCGGCCCTGCGCGCCCTGGATGCGCCTGAGAATCTGTAGGAAAGCAGGAAGTGCAATGTCGGAAGAACACAGACTCCATACATGCACTTCTACATACACACGAAGCATCAAATAGGAGACCTTGGATGGGACAATGCATTTCACAGCTTGTGAACCAGATGAAGAATACTGTAAAGCTCAGTGAGGCCACCGGGAGTGACAGTGCTACCTTGCAGTGCAGTGGGATTGGCCCTAACACTTCTGAACAATCAGGTGCCCTTAAAGCATCGTGTCCGCTGCCTATGCCTGGCCAGCGCTAGACCCCGGTCGCAGCAGCTGGCGCAACCCGATTATTTGAGCGTCGTGCCTTCTTTGGCTCTGGCACCTTGTGCACCGGGCGTCGGATAACAGAAGCGGCTCTTCGACTCTTTAGCCTACTCCTTCTGGTCACACAGCCGGCTCCGAGCGAGGCACCGGCTTGGCTTTGGCTGTGGCTTTGGCCCTCAGATCCAAGGATTCGTTGCATCTACGGGCCTTGGCCTTACATGCCACTGGAGACAAGCGAGGCCAGTAGTGGTCGTATGAAAGCAAGTCAGCCTGACTCCCATCAGCCGTACCTAGCTGA